ATTAGCCAATCAAAACAAGATTATATAATCTCATACAAGATAATTTTAACATGTGACTTATATAGTATATAGGTAGCCGTCAATAAAAATCAAGCAAATCTACATTTAAAAAAAATTCAATACCTTAACTTTCACAGCTCATATATCGATGAATTTTAAAGCTATCTTGATAGTTTAATATTCAAAAGAAAGCTTAAATCATAAGCTTTCTTTTGAATATAAAACCATTAATATAGCTTTAAAATTCATCAAGATATGAGCTATGAAAGCTAAGGTATTAAATTTTTTTTAAATGAAGATTTGCTTAATTTCTATTGGCAGTTGCTTATACTATAATTCTATTAGTGTTCTCTAAATGCAACCCTCTCTAAATGTATACCTCAGAGCTGGTCCCAATGATATGCACTTAGAGAGGTCTGACTGTAGTAAACAAATGACGTCATTCCATGATTTCACATAATGTGATGATCACTGGGTTCATTATTCTTTAAATGTCACTGGTAGCTAAAACATCGAAATTGGCCTAGGAAATTGTGAAATATGGGCATTTTCATCTTTACAACTATTTTGTTAACATAATATAGTTATGAAGACAAATACACCTATATTTCATGACTTACTAGGCCAATTTTAGTATTTCATCTACCATTATGCTCATATTTTTATCCTTCACAACAGTTATTATACACATAAGAGAGGTTTTTTTTAGTATAAAATCGATTGTCCTTAGAGAAATGCCAGATTCTGAAAAAGACAAAATTTATTTAAAATCACTGAAATTCACATGATTTTTCATTGGTTCTAAAATAATTTAAATAAATTAATATTTAAGTATAGTGCTTTGCAAAAAGATGTAAATATGTGATTTTAGTAATAGTAATAGCTGATAATCACCATGATTCCAGATTGTCTATTACTTTATATTTTCGATTGGTTATATTAATATTTCTTTGAAATCAGTTTAATTCTTAAAATCTCAAAAAATCTATAAAATCTCCAATTCTCACATGAAAAATGATTTGCAGTTTCACATCTTTTTGCAAAGTGCAATAAATAAAATTGGCTAAAACTGAAATTTAGAGTTTCCATTTAAATCTATTATACCTACCAAAATTTATATATACTTTTTTACTAACAACACTAACTCTAAACCCTAACCTAACCCTAAAAAAAACCCCTAATAAAAAGGTCCAAAAATTTTTTAAAATTTCATAATAAAATAGGTCAAAATTTCAGCATCATACCTGACAAATATTAATACAATAAACTGCATTTATTAATATCATATATTACTAATTTGATATAATGAATATTCATTTATTAAAATAGATTAAATATTATATTAATTGTAATATAAACTAATAGTAAAAAAATTTAAAATATAACTACTAAAGCAACTTTATTATATAAGTACTATATATACTGTACGCTAAAAAAATTTGGACATTATATAAATGGCATATCACTAGGGATCTTTGATGATTCGATTGTTTGACGTAATAAGCAAACAATGGTAGAGATGATGAAATTAATTTAAAGTTTAATTGTTTTTGATATATAATAAGTTTTATTACTAATAAATGTTCATCTCTTTTACTCATACTACTTCAAAATTAATAGATTTGACGAGTATCACAGGGACAAGAATATATATTATGATAGTCTTTTATTACGAATGATTTTATTTTTATAGAGAAGTATTTATTAGAAAACAACTTATACTTAGAGGACTTTGAAGTTAAGAACTCTTACAAGTTGATTTTTATTCAGACAAAAACATAGGTCTTTAAATACCTTTTGACCTTTACTGCATATATAGGCTGTGTCGTCTATTAAAACTACTTTTACTATGTATAAAATATACTAATTTGAATTGGCTAAATTACATGATAGTGGATAAGAAACAAATTTGTATTCGCTTAGACCTTAGATATGAATTTGTTTCTACTCAAGCCTTAGATACAATTTCGTATTAGACACTTAGATACAATTCCGTATCTAGATAGGAAATCTATTTTTAGCAATATTATTTTGCTTTGAAATATTTTAATTTGGGCTATACTAATAATAATAATAATAATAATATAAACATGTAAATAATAATAATAATAATAATATTCGTTAGTGAAAGATACTGAACAGCCTTTTAAGCTATCCTCATAGACAAATCAAAATAGACAGAATAGTCAAAGAGGTAGAGAGTGAAGCAAAACTAGTGTACGAGCCAGAAGAGTTACTTAAAGAACTCATGAATATTTTGAAAAGCAGTTCTAGTCGTTTTTCGAGCCCTTCACAATGTACGTAAAAACCTTGTCACACTGATAGGGATGGGTTCAGTTACAAACAGTCACGTTTATTCATAGTAATTTGCTAAATAATTAGATGATTTTTTATTAATTAAAGTTGTTCAGTGATAAATTCTGTTCATCTCATCTTATAAGTGAAAAAAACAATACCTTTTCTGGAACTCGGAATTTCAAATTTTGTTAACGTTATAACTGGCTATTAGCCGCCGGGTATTAACCGGTTATGACATTAACAAAATTTAAAATTATGAGTTCCAGAGAAGGTTTCGTTCTTTCTACTTATAAGGTGGGATGAACAGAATTTAAATCTGAACAGCTTTAATTAAAAGCACAAAAATAAAAAAACCATCGCAGTATTTAAAAAATTGACTATGAATAATCGTGACCGTTTGTAACTGAACTATCCCTATACACCAGGTACTGTATGCAGTGTTAGACGACTGTATGATTTGAAAAGGATTATTTATTGTATATATTTGTTTCATCTTTATTCATACCAGTTAATACAGGAAAACCATAATAATAAAAGGATTATATTCATAATATTCGTTTCTTAGAACTAGTTTTGCTATGTACAGTGTAAATAAATAATAAGAAATATAAGAATAATGGGTCAATTTCTTGAAAATTTGGCTTAGCAACAAGTTTAGGCCAAAAGTCAAAAATACAATGTTTTAATAATGGAATAGTAGCATATAGTTATTATCAAAAAATAGGTTGTCATATAAAAGGATAGTATTATTATAAGACGTGTTGTCTATAAGGTTGTTGTTTTGCATAACGTATTCAGTATTGGTACATGTTTGATAAGAAAATGAACTGGCTTCTTGAAAAGCGTGACTATTTGGTTCTTCATATGAGTCACAATAAAAAGAAAATTCGTCAATGTTTTTCAGTTGTTGTTGTGGATATCCTGATGGTGATGATAGAATTGATGTGTGACCTTGCATGAGATTAAGGATTACAGAGGATAGCATAGATGTTCCTTCAAAGTCATTTTCAAGACCGTTAAGAAGATAAACCTGTTCTAGGCATTTACTATTCGTCTTCGGCCCACGTTTTTTACCTGAATCAATAAAAGTACATTTAAGATTATGTAATATACAACGTTCACAAGTTGCTCCTCCAGAACATTTTGTGTGCTTTTGCTGGCAATTTGTGCATGCCCTAGTTACATAAAAGCCTCGTTGTTGCCATCGATGTTTTCTTTGTCATTGCTGTTGATATGAAAAAGACATTATTGATGCAATAATTAATCGATTAATATTAACTAAAGCTTTATTGTTTTTAATCAATGGTATTACTGAAAATATATATATTTAATGCGTAAAATTCTATGAAATTATTTAATGGAAAATGAAAAAGTATTACAGTTAAGAAAAGAAACTCTAAGAATCAAGATGTCCTTTTATAATTAGCTTACAACTTGCGATTGTAATAAATTTTAATGCTTTTTTTTTATTGAAAAGAAAAATGAAATGATCTGCAAGAGAATCAAATATGACCCTTTTGGCAAAGGGTGGTCAAATGATATAAATGAAACAAACAAGATAAATGCTGCAATGTGCTTAGTAGATCATTTTTTGATATGTTATTTATCATAATCTTGAAAAAATCTTGTACTACCTAAGAAAATTTACTAGTAAAAAAATAAAGTACCCTTAAATATATATATTATACAGTAAAAGCAGTATATATTTTTTGGTTATATATACAATATGAGCATAGTGGAAGTTTATTTTGATTGGTTGTTAAAATACCCCGGAAAAAATATTGATCGTACCCCGGATAAAGTATC